TTAATTTTAAGTTTTTTAAACAAAATTTTAAATTTATTAAAAAAATAATACTTTTAAAACAAATACTTCTTAAATTTTACATGCAAAACACGTTCTTAATCTACTCTATAGCCTTTAAGGCCCCAAAAAGAATTTCGTATACACAACAAATTAAAAACCGAAAAAAAAAGGATGTCTAGTCTATTTCATCCGGCTTTACATAAAGCACACCATGATCAATTGTCACCAAAATTATTCATCCCATTTTATTTCGTCTCAAAATTTCCACCCCAAACATCATTTTCCAGATTAAAAATTTTTATATGTACTTCCTTAATCAAGGAGTAATACTCTTTTGATGGGGAAGGAGGAGTAATACTCAATATATTACGCAAGTTAATACTTTACTTCGTTCTACAATAGTATGGTAGTAAAAATAAAGAAAAAAAAATTAAGAAACAATTATTATTGTGAGATAAATAAAGTAAATTGTATTAAAACAGGTACTTATTACATAGGATATAAATGTAATAATCTGCATTATCTTAAATTGGTTGAACATTCATTTTAGACGGCTTTCTATTTAGGAGAAAAACCTATCCCAGTTATGCCGTCTTTACTTTTTAAGACATACAGTAAAAAATTCTTTTCAGAGGTTTTGTTTCTTGTTCATTTTAGAGGTATTTGATTTCTAATTTGCATGATGTCCCACATTCTCCTTTTGCTCAATTTTCTTTTTACCTTTTCAAGTTAAAACCCCTTTTTACACATATGCATGAATAAGACCCATGAACTTACTTCATCCCATCTCTATCATGCGGGCAAAAACTTATTTGGAACCTCTTATTTTATTAAGTTTGAAAGTTTTAACTCTATATTTTTTACTATCACACTTTTAACCCCTTACCTTTTTAGATTTGTAAGTTTTAGTCCCTTACCTATTAAAATCAAAGAATATAGCTATCAGTTTATACTGACTGTTAACTCTATTAGTTGAAAGTAAATTTTTATCAATTAATAGTTAACTAATAGCTAGTTACTAAAATTAACGAAATATTATAAAGTTAGTTCTGTTAACTCTGTTAATTGAAAAAATGTTTTTGTCAACTAACAGTTAACTAACAGTTATTTAATAGAGTTAACAGTTAGTTAACAAAACTAATAAAATGTTACAAAGTGAGAACTATTTTTTTTAATTTTAATAGATGAGGAGTTAAAATTGTCATAATATAAGGTAAGATACTAAAACCTACAAATCTAGTAAGGTTAGAGGTTAAAAATGTCATAATATAAGGTGAGGGGCTAAAACCCTCAAATTTAGTAAGGTTGGGGTTAAAAATGTCTTAATATAAGGTGAGGGGTTAAAACCTTTAAATTTAGTAAGATAAGAGATTAAAAATAAGCTTTTACCCTCTATCATGCATACCTGCATTTCTGGCATAAAACCTGCAAGGTTTAATTAAATATTTCCTATCTTAAGAATGACATCAACTTTGCCAAAAAAAAAAAAAAAAAGGACATCAATTCGTTGACTTTCTTCTTCATTTAGCCAAAACCCTATGTTAAACCCCAAAATTTATCTCAAAATTTTTATTAAATTTTTAGATTTTTATTAAAGTAAATAAGCCTTTAACTTTTATTCGGTCTAGGCAATTTAACACTATTCCTTATAATGGATTTAATGTCAGTTAATACGTTATTTACATGAATAAGATTAATATCCAAAACATAAGTAATAACATGTCAAAATATCTTGTCTACATAAGTAATGCAAAAATAAGTGTTAAGTTTGCTATAAAAAAAAAGGGGTTAAGTTACTCAAATTATCAAATTTAAAGGTTTATTTCTTTTAATAAAAATTTAAAATTTTAATTAAGATAAGTTCAAAGTTTTAACGTTGGTTTTACCCTTTGTTTATTATTACAGTTTAGATGCCAGTGGCCCAGCCTGAATATTCATGGACATCAACCCATCAGGCCAGTTCTGCCAGAGACCGGCCGGCTAAATACCAGACTGGAAAAAGACTGCATTGAGGTTCGGTTTGGCCCAAATGTGGCACTAATCAAAGTTCGTCCCGGTCTCAGACGATTTCAAATTGGGCTTTGTTAAAATGGAGCTTATTGGGTTTACTTGGCAAACAAACCAGCCCATAACTAAATCCAAAACTAAAAAAAGAAAATCCCTAATTTATTTTTCCAGGCCTCCAGGGTCTGCCTTTTTGCCCCTCCCCTATCTTTGTCTGTTAGATTTAGGGTTTAAGGAATTCACAGTTCGCCATTGCTGTGGGCTTCATCCCTGTACTTTCTCCTTGTTTGAGGTATAATATTCAACTATGGTGTCTGGTTCTTAGTACCCAAAGATGTGTTTAGATTCATGTACCACAGTATTGGCTTCAATTTTTCAGGTTGAAATTTGGGAGATGTCTGCATTATTCTGCGAGAAAAAGCAATGGTGGTAAAGCTTATTGACTTCTGTTGCTGTTTCTTAAATTTTCTAAATTTTCTGTTTATAATTACCTGTTAAGATTGATGCTGCATGAAAAAAGTACTCTCCTTTTGTTAGAAAGAACTAGCAATACTTATTCAGAATCTGAAGGGGTTATCCATTTCTTGTTGGTGCTAATTTTGCTGAATTTACTACAGTTTATAATAGTAGTGGTTCCTTGATTGCGAGATTGACATGCACCCGAAAGCCAGTTTATTAGTTAAACTCCGGTTTTTAGCTTTCAACTCGCAGAGGTTTCTGTCTTTTTCCGAGAATCTTGTTGGAGTAAATCCTCTTCTTCCAATTGCGGCTACTTATTCAACAATATGCCACGCACAAGTTGAACATGCTGTAGAGAGAGGTCTAGAACGTCCTAGGAACCCTATAGAAGTTCTCAAGAGATGGGGTTGTAGTGAAAAGGATATATCAGTGTTAATCTCTCGTAGGCCTTCTTTGAGCAATGCTAATGTTACCTTGCTTCAGCCCAAACTTGAGCTACTAAAGTCCTTGGGGCTTACTGCCTCAGACCTTGTTAAGGTGGTCAATTGTCGCCCACGGTTCTTAAGTCTTTGTATTAAGAATTGCTTTGAGGAGCGGCTTGAGTATTTCTTGGAATTATTTGGGACTAGAGAACTGCTTTGTAAAGCCATTGTTAGGAATCCATCTCTGTTGACATATGACTTTCACAATCGTGTCAAACCAATCATTGCGCTCTATGACGAAATGGGCCTTACTAGAAATGATTTGATTACCATGCTCCTATCACGGCCTACACTGATTCCAAGGACTTCATTTAATCGTGAGAAGATGGAATACATATGCAAAACAGGGATTTCTAAGGGAACCAAAATGTATAAATACGTGGTTTGTCTAATTGGCATCTCGCGCCTTGAAACAATACAAGAAAAGGTGGCAAACTTGGAAAAGTTTGGGATTTCAGAAGATGAGATTTGGAAGTTGTTTGGACGGTCTCCCCTTGTTTTAACACTTTCAGTTGATAAGGTTCAAAGGAATATGACTTTCATTGTAGGCACATTGAAGCTTCCTTCAACAGTGATCCTTGGTTACCCCCATTTGTTATTCTGTAACTTGGAGCTTTTGTTGAGGCCACGGGCACTTCTTGCTAGCAAGATAAAGGAGATGGACCTTTCTCCACAAATTTTGGGACCCTTATTGTTCAGGGCACTGAGGATGAGTGAAAAGAGATTCCTGAAGGCCTTTGTTACATGTCATGAAGAGGATCTTGCTAAGGAGTTGATGGAGTTCTACCAAAATGCAAAAGGCATCAAGAGATTGGCACAAGCCTCAAAGAAAAACGTGCATCAAGGATTTCCCTTCTGAATGTTTTTGCTTGCCAGGTACTCATTGTTTTCCTCTCAGTACTTCACATTGCAGTAGCTTTCTAGAATCTAGATAATTAAGGGCTTGTTTGGTGGAGCTTCTTGGAGCTTTTACTTTTTTAGTACTGTTTATAAGTCATCAATTTAAATTTTTATTAGAGAGAAAATTTAAAAGATGCTTTTAGAAATAGTAAAAAGTGAGTAAGAAGTGAGTAAAAAGTTTATAAAAAGCAAAAGTTTGAAGTTTTTCAAAATTTACTGTTTTAAGTTCTTTTTAAGGTTAAAAAGAAATTAAAAAAATATAAGTTTTTAAGAAGAAAATTTAAACTTATGAAACATGAATAGTATCAAAAAGTTGAAGCACTTACAAACTTCACCAAACATGCTCTAAATTTTCATGAACTTTTTGCATTTAATGGCTTACTGTTTTTCCAAACCCATTTCTATTCTGGAATTGAGTACTTTGATGCACAGAGGTGTCATGCCTTTTTATGATTCCTGTGTTTGCACAAGCAAACACTATGGCATGCCTCCCTGTGCTTTTCTGTGAGATTTTTAACTTTATAGTGGTGAAAATTCATTTTCTTTTAACAAGCAAAATGTCACATTATAAAAGGCATGATAAATAAATAGTGGTGAAAATTTATTTATTTGAGTCCCCTCTGGAGTGTTTCATATCAGGGTGGTGTTTAGTCCCCAGTGATTCCTCCAGCAGCATAACTAAAAATTGGGTCGGAAATTATTATCGAAAAAAGATTCCAAGGTGTCATCCATACTTCATTTCTAACTAATAATAATAAGAAAGAAAACACACCTATATTAAACTGAGATAAGGAAATATATTGTAGCATTTGATCAAGCAAAAGTTTTTCCAGGTGTTAGGCCAATGTTACCCCTGGTGGTGGTCTTTTGGATTGCTGGTTAGATGGAATATGGACAGGAAAGAAAGCCTATTCTGAAAATTTGTTCATAAATGTGGTCTAGTCTTACCCCACATCCAACTCATCTATTTATTTATTTATATCTGTAATTTTACATCCCATAGTGCATAATAAGATAAACTTTTCGAAACTTATCTGCAGGTTGATATCAGGCTTGTATGTCTTCATTCTCTAAATGCTGTCCACAGTAGGGCTCGCTGCCATTTGAGCTGGAAGGAGAGTAGCCCTCAGTCGAAGATTTTCAATGTCACAATTCATCATCATGTCTGGTACTAGTATTTTTCAACCGGGATTTCCCTAAGCAATGCAGATCACAGTTTTATCATTTGATTTTGCTTTGTGTCATACCTCGATTTGAAGGCTGTGCAAAAGAGAGGATTTTGTGCTTCTGGTGTTGAATGCTATGTGAAGTGCTGCAATCTCTTATTGAGAAGGTGGTTCAGTTTCTGAAAAGGTTTACAATTGCTTGGGACAATATGAGCTAAGATGGCATCAGATGCAGCACCAGGCTCAGTCCATTCTTTTGCTTCCTTTCTAAACTTATTGATTGATGTCTTACCGGAACATTTTTTGCAGGCATAATTTAACTAGTGTAGGGATGGATACACCAATACAAAATAGATTAAAGATCGTATTTTTATGTTTTCAATTTATCCAATAACCCATTGAAGAGTTTTTCGTCTATACTCTCACCATTGTGTTATTGGAGGTTACTCATGGTTTCTAATTTCTATAGATTGTGCTGAACAAAATAATGTAATATTAAGAGGATAATGCTCTGCACATTTTTGGCTCCTAATTGATTAATGTTGTATGGCCGGTTTTTGAAATGATTCTGTTATAGAAGTTGAAACCAAATCAACTGTCATTTTTCTAAACCTTTTTATGTTATGATTTTATTAAAGTTATTCTCCAACAAACATGTAATGTGACTTTCAAAACAACAAACAAAATCAAGTCAGTACTTATTAACTTAAATAAAAATTAGGTATACTAATCATAATATCAATATCTTAAGGTTAAGGATAAAGTGTTGAAACCATTACAATATTAAACAATTAACTCTTGAAAAATAAAATCTTTACCATTAAATTTTAAATTTGATAATATTTATCTCATTTTAAAAAAATTATAATTTTTTTAATAAATTTATTGTCAAACAATTTTAAAGAAATTATATTTATTAAAATAAAAAAAAATACTAGTGCAATTCAAACTATTTTAAACTATAAAACATAAATTATTAAATAAGGAAAGAAACTGTTAATGTTATATAATATTAATTATTAGATAGAATATCTTTCTTATTTATTAACTTTTCTTTTATGATCTAATATATTTTAAATTTTAAAATAAAAAACTTTTACGAAGTATAACACTTCCACACAAATTATTATAAACAAATGATTTATCGGTTTGAATAAAAATAATTTGGTTTTCTTTATACAAAATTTTAAGTTCGAACATTAAGAATAAAGAAATAAACAGAGAAAGAATTTTTTTTTAAGAAAAGAAAAGAAAAAAAAAAAGGAAAAAGAAAAAGAAAAAGAAAAACGAAGTAACTGCAAAGGGCAAACCCAACTACAGTCCCATGGAAGAGATTAGAAACGACTTTAAGCTACATCATTTTGTTTTCACCCAAACAGGCCCTTGAAATCTCCAAGTGCATATAGAACCGGCTATCTCCACTACTTCCAGTGGGCGATAGCTGCGGCTGATATCATAGTTCGTTCTTGGCTTCTTCCCCTCTAGAATCTGAAAACACAGATAACATCTCTAAAAACAACCTTTCGTTTTTGTATGGTCACAGCATAAATGGCAGCATCCGTTTTCACAAGGACCTTTTTGGGTCACCGTTTGGTTCACTTTTCGTTCCCCCTCTCCTCAAAACCCCAGATTTTCACGACCCTTTTCAGTGTAAGTAAAAGGGTGCTCCTTTCTTCAGTTGTTCTTATCGAGTTTGTTTTCTGATCATCGATTAATGAGTTTTTCTGTTTCTGGGTATATTTTTTGTTGCACTAGAGTAATTATGGTCTTTTGGTTGCTCTCATGGGGTGTGTTTTGTGGTTTATTATTATTATTATTATTATTATTTTTTGTGCCATGTGCTTAGTGACCGATTCTGATTAATGGGTTTAGGTTTTGGTGGCGATTCTTTGCCTCGAGTGGAGTAGGGTATTGTGCTATGATTGTGGAGGGGTTTTGGGTTTTCCACCAATTGAGGGATGCGTGGTAACTTTTAATTTTATGCCTCTAACGCTTACCTAACGTGCTAACTTTGCAGCTTCTGTTGGAACTCACAGTTAATATTAAGCATTAGACAATTTGATTATCTGAATTTTAGAACTTGTGTGTCAAGTCAATGGCTTGACTGAGTTTGTTCCAGTTTTTAGATTGGATCAATTTAATTTGCTGTCCTTCTTTGTGTGTTTATCTCCAAATTTCATTACTTAATGTGTGTAAATGGTGATGGCTACCTGTTTCTTCTGTTAATTATTGAATTTTGCTAGTTCTGGATTTTGTTCAATCTGTTTTCTGAACTAATTTATTTATTACCTTTTTGGAATGCTTTTTATTTTGGTATCTTCACCTGATTCTGTATTGCTTTCAGAAGAAACCTTTTCCCTCACTGGTTGAGCCTGCCTATGCTGCATATAAGATGCCTGCTTACCCAGTTATGTCTTCGTCAATAACTGGGATGAGAGCTAGTTTCTCAACTCAGTCTCTGTCTACTAATGACCCTGTTGTTTCTGTTGATTGGCTCCATTCTAACCTTAGGGAGCCTGATATGAAGGTAACTCTTTGCAGCCACGATAATGGTCTGAATTTTAAGTTTAATCACTCTTGATATTTTCTAGAGTATGGACTTGCAGTTTCATGAACAAATTTGGTGAATTTCTTGCTTTTACATCTTTTAATTTCGTTTCCCTCTTTATTTTCCTTGTAGAATTATGCATTTGAATTTGCACAATTTGTAATAGCTCATGTTCTGGTTGTGTTTTAATTATGTTCACACAATTCAGGTACTGGATGCATCCTGGTACATGCCAGATGAGCAGAGGAATCCCATTCAAGAATATCAGGTGGTATTCGCACTCATTGTAGTCTATTTAGTTTCCCTCTTCAACACAATATGAATTGTCTTGGATGCTGCCTTCTCATTGAAATTCTGAAACTTGCTTTCTCATGTAATATTTACTGACCATTAAGAAAGCTAAATTCTTTTGCTGGTTCTATTTCAAAATATTTCAACTTCAACCCTGTTATGTTATTTCTCATAGACTAATATCATCATCTTGCATCCCAGGTGGCTCACATTCCTGGTGCGCTTTTCTTTGATGTAGATGGAATTACAGATCGAACTACAAAGGTTAGATATTGTTTATCCTTTTCCCCTCATTATGTCACTGACAATGTCAAATATGCATGTGGAGTTTCAAGGACGTTTTGGGGTTTAATTTGTTGAGGACTCCAAACTTTTAATTATCAAAGTATTCACTATTTGATATATTTCTTTTATTGGCAAAGAAAACAATTTAATGCCAAACTTTAGTCACTTTAATCATGCCTATATCTTCCTTGGGAAGAACTTTATCCAGTGAATAACGTATTTTGTTGACATTTGGAATTTTCAGGCTAAGTATGCCTTTATGTCACTTGTTCACTGATTAATTAGTTATCCTATTGGTATTTTCTTGTATTTCTTTATTCACTATGTAAGAGCCATTACTTGTGTCAGCTGCCGCATATGTTGCCATCTGAGGAAGCTTTTGCAGCTGCTGTGTCTGCTCTTGGCATCCAAAATAAAGATGGGGTGGTTGTTTATGATGGGAAAGGAATATTCAGTGCAGCACGTGTCTGGTGGTTAGTTGCATGCTTGATTGTAACTCTATCTGGAACTACACTTCTCTAATTTTGTGTTAATAAACTAATAGATGTGATGTTGATATATAATTGAAAGGATGTTCCGAGTCTTTGGGCATGACCGAGTCTGGGTCCTAGATGGGGGGCTGCCAAGATGGCGTGCATCAGGGTATGATGTTGAATCTAGTGCTTCTGGTGATGCTATTCTTAAAGCCAGTGCTGCCAGTGAGGCAATAGAGAAAGTCTACCAGGGACAAGCAGTAAGTTTCTTTTCTGTGACCCTTTTTCTTTGTTGTGTGAAGTTTTATGATATTAGTAGTTAGACAAGAAAAAAGCCATGTTCCCTTGTTTAATGGGATGTTAGTTTTGCCATTGGAGTTATTAAAACGTTATTGTTATGTTTCTCTACATAATGTGTTTAAGTTGCACATTTTTTCCTATTGCAGGTTGGGCCAATTACATTCCAGACGAAATTTCAGCCACATCTCATATGGACACTAGATCAGGTTGGATTGCTAATAATGACAAATTTTCTAAGATGATAAATCCTCATAACCAGATCTACATTACAGTTGGAACATTACAATAATCATGATGCAAAATCATTGGAAAATATGCAGTATTACAGGGTGTTTGACCTTTTTATCTTTCGGATTCCCTTATCATGTATTTGCATGGACAAGACTTTTCAAATATTCTCAGCATAATAAGAACCTCAATGTAGCAACTTTACATTTTGAGAGTCATATGGAAACTCTCAAGTTTTTGCTTTGGCATGGAATGTTTTGTGGATTTCTTATGGAGGAGATCCATCTATCATGAAATTAACAATGAACATCTGAACATCAAATTGCACTTTTATTTTATGTTATAATGGTTCGTGGGACATTTATATCAACAGCCCTGCAAATCTATTATAAGATAAGAATTAAAGGCAGAATTTTTAGTATGGTCCTCTTCAGGGTAGTACAATTATGAATTTCCTTAGGATGCTTTGGTTTGAGTATAAGCAGTTTTTCTTTTCCCCCTTATGTCCAACGAGCTGTGTAGTTTATATGTTTATGAGACTGGCATGATAATATCATGTGCAAAGTAATTGTGGAATGAAATTCTAAACTACCTAAGTTGTTTGCATTGAAGAGTCTGACATGTGTGTCATATAGAAAGTAGTTTCTTTCATAAGTTTCTACTTTCTACTTGAATGCTTTTTCAGGGTTCCTGTTTTATTTTTTATAGATCAGACAAAACATTGAGGGAAAAACTCACCAACATATAGATGCCCGTTCAAAGGCCAGGTATTGCGATTAATCACTGCTAGTTATAGTAAATGCGGGTTACCAGTATAGAGGCATATATGTTGGAGTAATTTGATAATAAACCTCCTTGTCCTAAAATTTTTGCTTGGTTTTGATGGAGATTTATTCTTCTTCAGATTTGATGGCACTGCTTCAGAACCTCGTAAGGGAATAAGATGTGGTCATGTACCTGGCAGCAAGTGTATTCCTTTTCCCAAGGTAACCAAAAATTTTTGTGTAATAGCTATTCTTCTGGAGTTGCTTGACGCATTTAGATTTATGACATTATATGTGAGCTTGTATGTGCAATTTGCCTTTTGAAGTTTGAGTTAAATTCCTTTTCTTATTATTTAAGATCATTGATTTTTTGTTGCCAAATTATTGTTTAGCAAAAAATCTTTTATGTTTTAATTATTTTATGCTGATGCAGAAAGGGCAGACTTGGTGGTTGCTAAGAGAAAAGTTTTTGGATAGTACCTAAGAGAAAGATTGAGATACTATTTTCTGTTATTGGGATTCCAAGCTGTTAATCCTTTTATTCCTTCTGTTTACCCAAGAATGAAATTTTCTGGTTTGTCATCCAATTCAAGAAAAAACATTTTGTTCTTTACAGATGTTGGATGCTTCACTGGCGCTTTTGCCAGCAGATGAGCTTAAGAAACAATTTGAACAGGAAGGTAAGTACCATTTGTCTATCTGCTCTAATTTTTTTGTTCTTTTCCTGATTCCTTAAAGCCAGAATTTAGAAGCTTTTGGTTTGAGATACGTTGCTGCCTTTGGAGTTGTTTGACTTTTTGGATTCATTCCTTCACCCAATCTTGATACATAACATTATAAATAAGTTGAATATGGGTTGTTTAATGATCATCTGGGACCTCGCAAAGTATAAACCTCAAGTGGTGACATCCAGTCTTCAATTTGATTTAGCCCACCCACTTCTTTTGTTTGTGCAGTGTAGTTATATGAGGTCTTTTCTCATCTGCTGAAAAAGTTCTAACCTAACAGCGCTTCCCACTGCAGGTATCTCATTAGATAGCCCAGTTGTGACTTCATGTGGCACTGGTGTAACTGCTTGCATTCTGGCATTGGTACATACTCTTGCTACGTTTTACCATTTCATCTTTTACCTTTTTGGGGTCTCTTAAAAGTACTTAATCATCTCATGGTCACATGTTTCAGGGACTCCATCGACTTGGGAAGGCTGATGTTGCAGTCTATGATGGATCCTGGACTGAATGGGGAGCGCATCCGGACACACCCGTCGACGCTTGTTCATAAATCTTGACATTGTCAAAAAATCTTGCTAGTTCAATACTTTTTTGTGACAAGAGTTTGTATCTAAAACATCGGAGTCTTATTTACCATTTTTGAGTGGCAACGTGTTTACTTTGGAAATATGCCATCCTTACCTCTTCCTCGGAGAATATTGTTTTAAATTGGATCTCTGCGCTGGGGGAGGTAAAAGCAGCAAAATACGCATGAAGTTAGAGGGGTGATCTTGTCTTTGTCTTCCACGCCAATCAAAACTAATTTATATTTAATAATAAAGGGTAAAAGAGAATGATTTTCCTTCGCATTTCAAGTTTGTTACATCTTAAAAGTAGTTAAATGTCGCAAAATAGTGGATGCCGAAGCAATTGACAAACAAAACAGAGCATGTTTCCCACTAAAAACACTCAACAAATTTGTACAAGACATATCTCCTGATTCTATTCTCTGCCTACTTTGTTAGAACGAAAGGAAAAGCAAGATAAAAGGGGGAAAAAATAGAATAGGAGACTGCAAAGAAAAAAAGAAAAAAAGAAAAAAAAGGGAAAACCCAAGTTAAAGACAGCTAGATTGTGCTTTGATCAACCCTGCAATGCCAAGAGTCGACTGAGTTCCTGAGAGATTGGAGGTTTTGAACGTTCTTTGAGTGCAGTGACAAACTCTCTTGGAACCAAACACTTCTCCTCCAAGGAAAGCTTCTCTTGGATTGTTAAAGATGTAATTATTTGCATCTCTTCAACATGCTGACCTCCCTTCTCATTTTCCTGCATGTTTTTGATCATTTTGCTTGCATTAGAGAAAGAAATATAACCATAAGAAAAGAGGGAGAAAAATTGTCCAAAATTACCATATGTTGGAGTATCCCAACTTGAGCTTGCAAATACTTGACATATTTGGAAGCAGCTTGAAGCATCTCAGCTGTGTTCATCTTATTCCCCCCAGGAATAAGCTTCCCCAGCTCTTGCGTCTTCTCCGTTATCTTCCTCCTCCTTTCCCTCGCTGCAATGCTCTGCGCTGACACACTTCTCTCATTCATCTTCTTCCCATTCTCATCATTCCCACTACTACTAATAACATGAGGAGTAGTCGTCGTCTGTGCAAGTTCAGGCCGGATGCAAGAGTTGGGAGCATACCCACCAAAGAAAGTAGGCGTAAAATCGTAGTAGCAGTGCTCTTGCTGGCATCTCTGCCGTTTTGGAAATGGCAAGGAACCAAAATCTTCATACGGGAAAGTATCCAGTGATTGGTAGGGAGAAGAGAAGTTTGGAAGGAGATGAGTATAGGCTTCGGGGTATACGATATTATCCTGCTCAAAATAAGGTTCAAGAAAGCTGCTGCCGCAGTAATCCAGAAGCTCGCTGGCTTCTTGTGCTTCTTCTTGCTTCTGTTGAAACAACGTTGGTTCAGAGTCAAAAGCCTGAACAGTTGTTCCCCAGTTGAAATATGAAGTGAAAATCATTTGTTCTTGTTTCAAACCTGCACGAACAGAACAGACCATTAAAAACCGAGGGAAGGTAATGAAAGAAAAGATTTGAGAAAGATCTACATAAATACCTGAATTGGAGAAGATACTGTTCGGAATTAGTTTAAGAAGGACTACGTGAGACAGAGGAATTAAAAGCAAGACTCTGTAAGGACCAGAAAGTAAAGTGGATACATATATAAACTGATTTTTATCCTGAGTGTATTATATTGGTGGGAAAGGGAGGAGTGGGTTGAGTGAAATGCGGAAACATGGGGCTGGAAACGGTTAACTACCTCCGATGAAAGCTAGGGTTTTTTCGCTTTTCACCTAAGAAACCGTTTTCCTTTTGGCGGCTGCCACCACCTCTTTTTGGATATTTTGTTAGAATATGAGTAATTATTATCTAAAATATGAACTTTAATTAAAAACACTAAAAATTCTTTTTTTTGTAATAAATAATTTTAAAAATGCATAATACACTCCCCATATCAATATTATATATTTAAAAAAATTAAGTTTTTTAAATGTTAATTTGAAAACTTAAATCATAAACTTGCAATATATGTTTCATAATAAGAAGATTAAAACTTAGTACTTTCCATTATATATGCTAGTTTGTCATATTATACAACGAAATTCATGAGGATTGAGAACGGCTACGAGTCGACCCTCTCAGGCCAAATAGCAGCCGATGTCACGTGCTTCGACCTTAGAACATGCATTTACTTTTAGATTTTGTTAGTAATTAATTTTGTTAACTAATTGAGGAAGGCCTTCAGGTCTACTAGTCATTTATCTAATTATAAAAAACTTATTCATCAAGTAACAAGGTTCAAATACGTGGTATCTTCTTTCTCACTCCTCCCCTCCTCTCACATGTTAAATCACTTGTCTCTATCCTATAAAAAAGAAAAAAATTTGTTAGCTAAACTATTCAAATCGAGTGGTAACTTTTGAAACGGAATATCGTGAGATCATCCGTACATCACGCAAATAATGCAAGTTTGTGGACGATGTTCAACTACAAGCTTGTGGATGAACTGATAACACTGTCGTTAGTTAAGGTCAAAAAAATTGTTAATTATCACATGGTATCCCTGCTTCTCACAAGTTTTACATGCCTCCGGCTTCAAGGGGTCTGCAATTCACAAACATCTCTTAAAAAAATTTAATTTGTTATTTATTTTTTAATTCTCGACTGAATATTTATAAATACCACAAGTTTTCGCAGACTTACCGTGCATATGACATGTTCTAGAGGGAAAGGCCTGTATTTGCTGATCACCAAAGATTGAAGAGAAAGTTAACAGGGTCTGTTTTCTTCTCTCTCATTCTTAATCTTCTGCAATCTTAGATCTCATTTTCTTTCTTATATTATTTTCAGGGAAAAAGGTTTAGCAATGGCTGAAGGAGAAGAGAAATCAGTGCACGCCCAGATGGCTCAAATTGCACAAACTGATGATCAAGAGAAGGTGGTGGCTAGGGGTGATGAGAACGAGAAAATTGCTGAATCAGAGAATGTTATAGAGGGGGGAGTACAGGAAAATGGTGATGTGAAGGAAAGGGGTGAGGAGGTTGAGAATGGAGTCGAAGTGGTGAAGGATGGCATGGAGGAAAATGGTGATGCAAAGAAAGAAGAGGAGACGCAGGCTGATGGGGGGATCAAGAATGAAGATGAAAGGGGATTAGGAGAAGAGGAAATTGTTAATGGTGTCAAAGAAAAGAATGAATCAAACGAGATAGATGAGGAAAACGGTGGATCAAAGGAGGAAAATGAGAAGAAGAATGAAGAAGGGGAGGAAAAGGACGAACCAAAACAAGATGAGAAGACGGATAGTGGTAATGAGGAAGATGGGGAATTAAGGAAGGAAGATGATGAGAAGAATGAAGGTGCTGAGGAGAAGGGTGAACCAAAACAAGAAGATGAGCAGAAGAATAAAGGTGATGAAGAAAAAGGTGTGTTGAAGGAAGAAGATGAGATCAAGAATAGAGGTGATGCTGAAAATGATGAATCAAAGAAACAGGATGAAAAGAATAATGAAGGCGAAACAAGTGATGCTTTACCATGTAATGTTGATGTGAATAGTTCATTGAAGGAAGAGGATAGCCTTTTATCTGAATTAAAAGAGAACGAAAGGATGGCATTGATAGAGATCAAAAAGAAACTTGAAGAAGCCATTAAAGAAAATAGGCCTTTCAAAGAGAAGAAGTCATTGGGAAATGATAATGTGGAAGCAAAGGGGAAAACAAGGGAGAAATTTGAAGGTGTTGTTGAAGAAGCTATCAAAATGAAGGAAGAGGGCGAGAAGGCAAAGGGATTGGAGAAACAAGAAGAAGAAGGAACAGAAGAAAACCCCACAAAAGATGTTAACGAAAAGAAAACAGATGGAGGTGTTGAAGAAGAAGCTGCAGGTTTTAATATGGATATTTCCCTTTGGGGAGTTCCTTTACTTCCCAGCAAAGAAGATAAGGCCACTGATTGTTTACTTTTAAAATTCTTGAGAGCTAGAGATTTCAACCCCACCGGGGCTTTTGAGGTGTTGAGGAACACCCTTCAATGGCGACGGCAGAGCAACATAGATTCAGTTTTAAATGAAGATTTTGCCAATGAATTCTCCTCTGCAGCATACATGAGTGGCAAAGATAACGAAGGTCATCCTGTATGTTACAACATCTTTGGGGTACTTGACAATGATGAGATGTACAAAAACACATTGATCACAGAAGAGAAGCGAGACAGGTTCCTGAGATGGAGGGTCCAGCTGATGGAGAAAGGAATTCAGCAGCTTGATTTCAATCCCAATGGAGTTTCATGTTTGCTGCAAGTCAGTGATCTCAAGAACACTCCAGGTCCTTCCAAGAAAGAGGTCAGGCTTTTTGCCAGACAAGGCGTTTCCCTTCTTCTTGACAACTATCCTGAATTTGTCACGAAACATGTAAGCATTTCATAATACTCAGTATATCCCTCCTAAATTATTAATCATTCAATTTGATATTCTATTGATCTAACAATTTTTTCAACTCTTAATTTGCTAGATCTTTATCAATGTTCCATTCTGGTATTACGCTTTTACTGCTGTGTTGTCACCTTTCTTGACCCCAAGAACGAAGAGCAAATTCATCTATGCTAGACCATCCAAGGTTACTGAAACACTGCTCAAGTAAGAACTTACTTTCCCCAGTTGCTTGCAGCACAATGTATTTCCTTGGTGGACAGATTTAAGACTTACTAACCTCTTTATTTCAGGTACATTGCCGCCGAGCAAATACCAATCCAATATGGAGGACTTAAGCGGGAAAATGACACTGATTTCTCCATTGAGGACACTGCAACAGAAGTTCTTGTCAAGTCAGGAACGACAGAATCAATTGAAATCCACGCACCAGAGGTAATAATTAAATTGACTAATTAAGCTCTTTTTTAACATACTATTGTCTTTTTTATTCCCTAATATTTTCTCTTTCTTTTTGTTTTTGGGAAAAAAACAGGCAGGGAATGATATGGTGTGGGACGTGATGGTGTTGGGCTGGGAAGTGAACTACAAGGAAGAATTTGTCCCGAGTGATGAAGGGTCATATGCCATCAGTGTT